TCCGTGATGGGTTTGAGTTTATTGCCGACATTTTGCTCCGCTTGTGGTTTGTTTGCTTTTTGGCGTTGCTGTTAGTTTCTTTATTCCATGTTAATTTCTGCGCTGGTTCATTTTGTTTGTGGGTTTTCTTTCATTTTCTTTGTTGCTGCTGTTTTTGTTGTTAGGTGCTGTTGAATCAGTTCCGACTCATGGCGACCTGTGTCCAACAGAAAGAAGCTTGGTTAGATACTGTGCTATCCTTACAATCACTGGGCAACCTCCGTGTCCATCCGTCTCGTTGTAGGTCTTTTTTTGCTGATCCTCTACTTTACCAAACATTGTATTCTTTTCCAGGGACTGGTCTCCCTTGAGATGTCCAAAATATGTGAGGCAAAGTCTTATCCTGGCTTCTAAGGAGCATCCTGGTTTACTTACTCCGAGACAGATTGGCTTGTTCTTCTCGGAGTCCCTAGTGCATCAGTTCTTCCTTAGTCGTTGTCCAACTTTCACATGCATGGAAAACGCCTGCTGTGAGTAAGGCACTCCTTAGTCTTCAAAATGACATCTGCCCTCTTACGCTGCAAAGAGGTCAAGCGCAACACATTCTCTGACTTTCATACATTGTTTGCTTTCTTGACTGTTACCTCCATGAGTGGTGAGAGTGGATATAAGTCAAATGAAATCCTTAACAACTTCAATCCGTTCTCCATTTGTCATAAGGTTGTTTGTTGGCCCAGTTGTGAAGGTTTTTGTTTCTTTATATTGATTGATTTTCACCATCCAGTGGCTGCTCACGTTCAGCCAGCAAGGTTATGCCACCTTCACGTCCAGGTTGTTACTAGCTTTCCTCCGGTCCTGATGGCTCAGTCTTCATCGAGTCAATGTCTCAGACTGCTTACTCCGCATGCAGATTGCTTAGTATTTACGAATGTTCATGATTTTCCACTTTTCATTTTTGATCATGTATGTATTAGTTTGTATTTATGCCCAAGCTTCAAAATGTTTGCTCTATCTTGAGAACTATTTGACTTCCTCTCCATTTGGAATTTCTGTAACTACCCTATTTATTCCCTCTTTTTGCTTGGTAATTAACTTAGTTTAGCTATTGATCTGACTCCCTATTTCCCGTCTTTGTGTCTGCTTTCCTTTAGACATTTCTTTCTTCTTTTTTTT